AGCCGCCCGGGCAAGCGGCTTCAAGAGCCGGAAGAGTTTCAGGGTGAAACGCAGAAAATAGCGTGACTGAGACGCGCTGGTGTGAAGCGTGGAAGCATTGAACGACTTCTCTTATTGTTGTTGTGGTTTTTTTTTTTTTTTTTTCTAAGGCTCTGGCACCAGCTGACTCTGCAAGTGCTGGATTTTGTCCAGGACCCTTGCTTTGCCCAAGGAGATGGGCTCATCAAGGTGAGATGTTTGCTTGTTCCCAAGTGACCTTTTTTTCTTCCTATTCCTGTAGCGGAGTTGAGTGATGGTATTCTTGTAGCGATGAAAACAAGTCATCTTTGACTTGTTTCTGGAGAACTATTAAGTTAGGTTAATACAACTTTCTGTTTGTGTGCTGGAAATACTCATATGCTTTCACTCTCCTTCCTGTTTTAGATTGAAGTTCAGTTCCCCTGATTCGTTCCATGATAACAAACCTTGAGTTTCTAGATAGCTGCTTTCTAGATATCTGTAAAGGGAAATTTGAAAGGTCAGGGCTTGAACTGATTGTACAGTGGTAATTGAAAGCGTACACTGGGGCAGCCCACAGAGAGGAAGCCTTGTGTTGTAGTACCTGATAGCCTGTGAGTTTCTGGAATCACTTCTTACGTTTGGGAGAGTATTGTGCAGCTAGAATTCTGTAAAATGAGCTTTTTTTTTAAAAAAACAACAACAACTGGTTCCTGGATTCAGCATGCTACAGGCTTTTTCCTGTGTTGGATGCCCACTACTGTGTTTGAAGGATGAATTGGAATACAATGAAAAACAAAAGTCATGGCTAGAACAAAGTATTCCGTTGTCCTGAATGTGTTTATCTTTTTGCTTTCAGCTTTATGAGAACTTCATCAGTGAGTTTGAACACAGGTGAGTCTACTTGCCTAGAAATTCGTAGGTAACCTACTGCTGACTGAGACTGTTATAACAACAAGGGTGTGGTTTTTTTTTGTTTTTCTAGGGTGAACCCTTTATCCCTGGTAGAGATCATTCTTCATGTAGTTAGGCAAATGACAGGTAAGTGATGTTACCTGTGGCTTATAGTCGTTATAGGAACTGAGGGCTGCGAAGCCTTACTAGTAAATAGTAAACAGCTATCTTCAGTGATATACCATTGAGAAAAAATTGGTTGCTACAGTCTTCATGGAACCAACTGGAGGATTTATTTCTAGGTTGAGGTTTACTTCTGCTGGAGTTCTTAATAGACCTTCTCTTTTGCTCTGCTCTAGATCCCAATGTGGCCCTTACTTTTCTGGAAAAGACTCGAGAAAAGGTATTTGTGAAACTGCTCTTCCTGGTAGTCCCTCTACGGGGCTTGTTTTGTGTGTGAGTGTGCGTGGTATAGCTGAAGAGGCAAGTATGTGTACAATGAGAGCTGTGAGGATTCCTTTCCTCTGTGAAAAATACCTGAGTTCAATGCAGGAATGCATTAATGAGTGAAATGTAGCTACATTAACACAATTCAGGTTTCAAAAGCCTGCCTGGCTGGAATGATAAAAGGTTCTAAGTATGTATTTTTGTATAACTGCAGGTAAAAAGCAGTGATGAAGCTGTCATTTTGTGTAAAACGGCCATTGGGGCTCTCAAGCTGAACATTGGAGACCTACAGGTCACAAAGGTGAGATGATCACTTCAGTCGCGCAGACATTCAGGCAGGTTGGAGCACTGTGACTTATTCAGCAGTTACTCTTAAGTGTGGATGTTCCTGTGTTTATGCTTCAGTGTTGAGAGAGAAGGGAAATGCATATGCAGGTCCTGGGATTTCCAGGAAGACTTGGTGCTCTGCTTTACGTTTTGCAGGCTATAAAATCATGTATATGGTACTAATGGTCAAATGTCTTTAGCTTCAATAAATTTCTGATGTGTGTAGCCTTTGTTGTACAGTTGCTTGTTGGTGGCCTACAGAGAGGCTGCAGCTCAGGAGGAAAAAAAGAAAGAAAAAGGGGGAAGGCGAGAAAAAAACCCCAAAACCTCCAAACCTTGCTGTTCCTTATTTTTCTGGTTTAGAGGGCGCCTTGCGTTCAACAGCCTACATGCTGCTGGTTGATGAGCTGCTAAAGCTGACTGAATGTCAGTATCTGGTTACCATGCTGAACGTGGTGTTTCTTTATCTCTCAGTTTTTTAGAACCATCTCCCAAAGCTAAGATGAGGGCATTTTTTTTCCATGCAGTTCAGCTTTACATGTTTTACTGCAAGTATGAAGTCTGAAGCGTCACAGTGTTGTCAGATTTTTTTTCCAATCAACCGATTTTGTAAAGGGAGAACAGCACTGCTTTATTTTTAATTCTCCTGTGGTAGTAGCTTTGGTCATGGTCTTATCTGCCTCACTGCTGAGTGGATGCAACTTCTGAACCAAATGAGAATGTTAACCCTTCCTGTGGTGAATTGGAAGGCTGGGAGGCATGGGTGTGTATTAAGTGTACCTTTAAACATAACAAACTGATTCTCCTCTCTTGTGTAGGAGACCATTGAGGAGGTTGAGGAGATGCTGAACAATCTCCCTGGGGTGACTTCGGTTCACAGCCGTTTCTATGATCTCTCCAGCAAGTACTACCAGACGATTGGGAACCATGCCTCCTACTACAAGGATGCCCTGCGGTTTCTGGGATGCATTGATGTTAAGGATCTGCCAGGTAATTCCTCCTTTGTGGCCGGACATAGGAAGTCTCAATTCTCATTCTCTGTGTAATTGCTTTAGTCAAAAAAAAAAAAAAAAAAAAGCACTGACAGAGAATAAATTTCTCAACATTGTTGAGTCTGGTGTAGTTGGACCAGGATCTAGCTACAAGGAGAGAAACCCACAGAAGGAATGGATGAGCACGCTTCTGCTCCTAAGCTGCGCTGAGGTGATGAGAGGGAAGGGACAGGTTATTCTAGTTCTGAATCTTCTCTCTGTTTTCAAAAAGTAGCCCTTTTGTGCCACTACTGTGGTTACTGCAGGCTTCTGAATTTCAGGTTTGGGAGGGAGGGCTGAGAAGGGTAGGGGATGATTTAATACAGGCACAGAGAGGAGGGTGAGGAAAGAGCTGATGGGACTTAGAGTTTGGATGAAGCAGCAGTCTTTATTTTTTCTTCTCCTTCCCCACCAAGTATCGGAGCAGCAGGAGAGAGCCTTTACCCTGGGACTGGCAGGGCTGTTGGGAGAAGGTGTTTATAACTTTGGGGAGCTGGTAAGTTAACTCTGGTTTGCTTCAGCTGTGGGGCCTCAGGAGTTGATTTTTTTAGCCTCTTAACACTTGTCCTTGCCTGGGTTCTGCAGCTCATGCACCCTGTTCTGGAGTCCCTGAGAAACACTGATCGGCAGTGGCTAATTGATACGCTCTATGCCTTCAACAGTGGTAATGTAGAGACGTTTCAGGCTCTAAAGTCAGCATGGGGTCAGCAGGTGAGTGAAGAGATGCTTACGTTGTTTAAGTAAGGCCTAGGCTAAATGTTTACAGAGGCCATTTGGGAGATTCTGTGGGCCCCTACCTTAGGTTTCCGAACTCTGGTGCATTGGTATAATCTTAACCGTTGCATAGTAATGCTACTTTCATCTTGTATCATTGGTTTTCTTTTGGCTTCTCTTTGTATCTGGGTTGCTTGGGAGAAGTGAAAAAGAGGAATTTCTTGTAACCAAGGGAGAAGCAGCAAAAGGCTTGACACAGCCCTGTGCAGGAAGATCACTTCCAATTTAATTTCCATAATGCCATTACCACGGTATTAAATAGCTTCTACTCTCAAGTAGTACTTTTTTCTTATTTTCTAGGAAATTTGAGGAAGCTGTGCTGTTGGATACTAGCTGCACTGGCCATTGCCACATGAATAAATATGTGCTGTAGTTTACAAATTGACTTTTTTGTCAACTTAAGCAAGGCTGTAGCCCTTAATATAAGGTTACCTACCTTGTAGAGTATGGTGTTTAATTACACAGTCTTTATCGTTAGTTTTAGGGAGTCGTCGCCCAGTAGCGGGTGGGAAGTGATGGCCTCCTCTCTCGAAAATGAGGACAGTGGGCATCCCTATATTTTTTTTTGGTGGTTTACTTTGGTATACAGAATGTTGTTCTTTTACAAGGGGGGAACATGAGTAATAACGAACTCTTTCTGTTATCTCACAGCCAGATCTGGCAGCAAATGAAGCACTTTTGCTGCAGAAGATTCAGCTGTTATGTCTTATGGAGGTGAGCTGCTAAGCTGAGAACCGTAATGTGTTACGGGTGGGGAAAGGGGAAGGCACTGCTTTTAACAGCCTTTTGATGGGGCACGACTTAGGTGGCAAATTCTCTGCAGGATGCAGTCATTATTCACTGTTCTTATAGGAAATCAAGGGTGTAACTCCATAGTTATTGCCTGCAAGTTTTGCCTCTAGGTGGTGCCAAAAGGCAGGTACTGCTGGGGGAAGAAGAGCTTTATGCTGCTACCTGCTTGCCCTTTCAAGGGTATGCCCCTTCAGGCAGGACAGGGAGGTGGAGAAGGAGGGAGTGAGCCTTGCTTCTGAAGAGAGTATCCGAAATGATAGAACATATTGAAGAGCTATTATAATAAAGATTTATAAAACACACAGTTAAAATCTTAGTCTCTTAAAGACTGAAAATCTCTTCCCTGTGAGGTAACCCTAAACGTGTAAAATAGTTTATTTCCTGTCCCTTGAAGGGTTTGGTCTGTTGTTAGCAACACATACTGATATATAAGCCTCCGTGGCTCTGGATCTGTTTTTGGAAATTAAAATGCTGATGAGCTGAATTCTCTGAAGCATAGTACAGGTGTTTATCTTGAGGCACACATACCGGTATATTCATCCCAGTTCTCGCATTTTACTTTGAACTGGTCTTATTACTTATAATATGTTATGCCAGGGATTGGATATGCATTGAGACATTTTGGCACAAGTTAATCTGCTTTATCTGGAGCTTCATTGTTGCTTAGGGAGTCCGCAGTTTAGAGCGGTAAGGAGTGGGGGAGGTCTACTTTCTGCTAACATGGGTGAGGGCATTTTTATTGAAGTATTGTGGTATAAAATGAGGAATACAGGTGCTACTGCAGGATGAGAGCTCGGCAAGGGGCAGCAGCAGGGAAGCTGTGCGTGCTGCAGAACGAAATAAGACCTGTGGACGTTTCTTTTTTGCTCTTTGTTTGCTTGAATTTAGATGACTTTCACCCGACCCGCCAATCATAGACAGCTCACTTTTGAGGAGATTGCTAAGAGTGCCAAAGTCACTGTGAATGAGGTGAGTTCAGGTTTGGACCAAGTTCGTGACAAATCTGAGTTCTGAGGCTCTAAAAGTGTCTGAATAAACTTACTCCCACAGGTGAAATGTAAGGATAAGTGTCCTCTACTCTTACTGTGTATCTGAGGAATTGTTTTCTGAGGAATTGACTGATTGATGCTCCTATTTCTTGATAAATAATTTTAGGAAGTTCGTAGAGTCATAGGTCCCTTCCAACTAGTCTTACCTAGACTAAACAAAATGCAACTTGGATTTTTCTGTGTAGATTCTGTTCCAGCCTTCTGTGGAAGGCAGCACCTTTGTTTAAGTTATCCAGGGCCCTGTCAAGCTTTGTCTGGAGCATTTCCAGCAAGGGGAGATTCCGCTATGCCTCTGATGTTTAGCTGCTCTCACAGTGAGGAATTCCTTTCTTGTGTCGAGATGGAATTTCCCCCAAAGCAGCTTTAGCCTCTTGTCCTGTCACCGTGCATCCTTGTGGAAAAGAGTGCCTATGTCTTCTCTGTGAATACCTTTTAGATACTGGAAGGCTGATGGGATTCCCCCAAGCTTTCTCTTACCTAGACTAAACAAAATGCAACTCCTTCAACCTTTGTTCACATGTCAAGTTCTCCAGTCTTCTGATCTTGGTGGCCCTCCGCTGGGCCCTCAAGTTTTTCAGTGTTTCTCTTGAACTAGGAGAGGCAAAACTGGGCCTAGTATTCTAGGTATGCTTTAACAAATGCTGTGTGGGATAATTGCATCCCTTGACCTGCTGGCTCTGCCCTTGTGGATGGAGGCCAGGATACGGTTTGCCTTTGCTGCGGGGGCGCGCTGTTGACTCTTGTTCAGCTGGCTGGTTTCCCCTTGCCCCAAACCCCTCAGCTCCTTTGTAGCAGAGCTATACCGCAGCCCGTCAGACCTCTGCTTGTGCTGCTGCTTGGGATCGTTTTGTCCCCAGTGCAGGATTCCACACTCAACTTTTATTGTACTTCATACAATTCTTGCTAGCACAGTCTTGTAGCCTGCCTAGGTCTCTCTTTATGGTGGCTCTTCTTCCTAGCATATCTGTCTCCCCTCCTGGCTTGGTATCATCCACAAGTTTGGTGGGGACGCGGTCAATCCTGTTATCCAGATTGCTTATAAAGATAAGTAAGTAGTATTGGACCCCATAGCAATCCTGGAAGAACTCTATTTGTGACCAGCTGTCTGTTCAACTTGGAGCTGCTAACCACCACCCTGACTGAGCTCAGCAGTTCAGCAAGTTCTCAGCTCATCTTGTTCCAGCTGTCCAGTGTGTATCTTACCAGCTCATCCGCAAGGCTGTTGTGGGAGGTCTTGATGACTATTTTGTTAAAATTGTTAAATGGTGGTTACAGCTTTCTCCTTGTTGGCTAAGCAAATGTTTTCATCATAAAAGGCAATCAGATCGTTCAGGCTAAATCCATGTTAATTTTCTCCAGTCACCTTATCTTTCATGGGATTTCAGATGCCTTAAATATATAGGATTGTAGATTTTCTAGGTGTTGAGCCTCAAGGCAGTCTTATAACCTATAAGAGGATAGCTATGAGAGAGACTGCAGCTTTTCTCAGTTTTGTGTAGTAAACACTATTCCGCTGGCTCCGCCTAAAGGTTTTATCTCTGGGGAAAGTGGGCGATTCTCAGTTCTTTTCTTGCTTTTAGGTGGAACTGCTGGTGATGAAGGCGCTCTCGGTAGGATTGGTAAAAGGCAGTATTGATGAAGTGGATAAGAAGGTGCACATGACATGGGTACAACCACGTGTGTTGGATTTACAACAGGTAATGATCAACTTAAACGCTAAGTCAGTCTTAACTTGCTTTTTTTGTGTATGAGGTGACCTGGAAATTGAAGTAAGAGCTGATCAGGGTCACTGCCTGTGACCCTGAAGCTTCCTGAAAAAACTCAGTGAATTGGAAAGTATAACAGTTTTTTCTCTGTTTGTGTTTTTTTGTTTTTTTGTTTTAGCTCTCACTTTGGATATATAGTGTGCTTTGTATCTGTAACTGTGCTTTGCAATAAATAGCTACAAATGTGCTGGGAGATAGGATAGGATTTCAGAGACGCTTCTCCTCCAAGAGCCATACAAACCTCCAGGAAACATGAGCGCTATGACTGCGTTTTCCAGAAGGATGTAGGCGCTTGGCAGTTGCTTCAAACTTTAATGCGTGAAGTAATTTTAGTTTCTGGTTAGTCGGTGGCGGTCTTGGGAAGAGAAGTTCGGGGTGCTGAAGACGAAAGACACTGAGCTTCTCAAGTTCATCTTCATAATCAGCGTGTGTTAGGAGACTGTATAAGGTGCCCTTAGCTTTTTAGAAACGGTTAGTCCATGGAACGCTAGCTACAGACGATTCCTTTTGTGCATTTCATTTTGATTCAAAACATTGCAGTCTTGATGGCAAAAGATGTCAGGCATACGCTATAGATGCGTGGGGTTCTGAGAAGCTGTTTGGGATCGCAAGCATTTGTCTGTCCTTAGAGGTGAGTTTGTCTATCTTTAGTGCTTGTGGCATTAAAGTTATTGTGCCTTTGCCTTCCAGATCAAAGGGATGAAAGACCGCCTGGAGTTCTGGTGCACAGATGTGAGGAGCATGGAGATGTTGGTGGAGCACCAAGCCCATGACATCCTAACATAGAGGACCTTGCACTGCCCCGAGAGAGTAATGTCTACTGCTACCGATGCTAGCAGCACTCGGACCACTGACTCTGTACTGGATTATATTGAAGGGGGGAGGGTGGGCAGAGGGGAGAGCAGCTTTTTGACGCTTGTACAGAGGAGTAAGTGGCCTTTTGCTGTGTAACCCTTTGGTGCTTGGAGTCAAGATTTCCCTATGCGCTAACACTAGTGGCACTGACCATGGGAGCTCCTGTCCTGTCCTCGTCAAAGGAGGACAAAGGTTCTGCTGCGGTTGATTCCTCAGTCTTGCTAGTGAACTGTTGTGGGAGAAGGTAATGCTGGTTACGTGCTACAGGAGCGGAGGTTATTGTGTGGGAGGATGTGATGCTGGTTACATGCTACAAAAGTGGACGCTGTCTGCCTGGTAAAGGGGTGGCAGAAGCTCCCCTGTGAAAATGTTCTAGAGAGGTGCCTGACCATTGTATGTCATATTACTTAGTAGTATCGGCCTTATGTGAGGGTATGACCTTCCCCTGGTAACGTCTCCCTCCCTGCCCCTGCAGCAGCCCAAAGGCAGCATTACTGAAATCATCTTTCTCCTTCTGCCCTCTTTCTCCACAACCCCTTCTCCTCATTTGCAGTAGAGGGAGTGTTTACTCCATCAAAGGGTTTTTTCCAGGATTACAGTTTAGTGGATTTGTTTTTATATACTTTTGGGGGTTGATGTCTCTTATGAACACTTTATGCTAAAGTGTGGTGCAGCAATATTGCTGGAATAAACTTCTCTGCCTTCCCTTTTCTGTAGTTCTGTCTGTGCTTTCATCCTAACTTGCAGCTGAGTGTCCGATCTCTTTAAAAAAAAAAAAAAATACTTCCTTTTAAGTGTCATGTTACAACTCTCTACTCAAAAACAGTGCAGGCTAAAACAGTCTGTTAATCACCAGCAGGATTAGTAGGCTACTTACTTGGTAGGTAGTACCTTAGTTATTACTTTACTGTCAAATTCCTGTCTCTCTTTTGTGGGAAGCTGTGGGAAGCCTTTTCTCCATGGTGTAAGAATTGGTGACTGAAATGCCTGAGAGGAGTTTGTTCCGCTTTTGTCCCTTGATGACCGCTACTTCAAAAGCTTTGCGTAATGTGGTTTTGCTTTAGTACTGCTGTGATGTCTTTAGGGAGATAAAAGATAACTTTGCGTATCAACAGTTTTCAAGAAATGCAGGCCTGCACTGGGGACTACATGCAAGCATCTGGATGCACGGTATTCATAATGAGATGGTAGTAATAGCAAGCTGCACTAAGGTTTTTGCCCTGCCCAGTTTAAAGTTACTGTTAATATTCACAGTCTGACTAAGTATCTTGAGGTAAGTGGATTTTTAAATGCTGATACCACAACATTTGTGTGCAGTTCTCACTTTCCAGTACCAGTGCGATTGCTGCTCTGATTCAAGACACTTATTTTATTATACTTTACAGGCTTTTTCTAGTGTGCTGTCTTGACTCTGAGGGTTTAATGCCAGCAATGAAAAAGGAAAGCACGTGGCTGATGCTAGAAGGCTATGAGGATGGGAAGATGTCTTGGGCAAGGAAGACTTAAGCTTTTAAAAACAAAAAATGAAATCGTCAAACCCCATACCTGGTTACCATTCAGTCTTCCGCCTCTCTAATGCGTTTTGCATACGTTTCTTCTTGATTTGAAGTTGCTTAATTTTGAATGGCTGCCTCTTCCCAGTCCAGTCGGTTGTTTTTAATGTTGTTACTTTGCCTTTGATCAGCTGTTGGAGCACTTGTTTGAACCATATTATGATGCTTTCTCCTAGTGTGGAGCAATTTGAGACTTTGCCTAGTTTGTGCCTCGTCTTGTCTTCTGCATCGCATTCCTAATGCCACTTCTACTGACTTTAGAAGAGCGTGCTGAGAAGAAAACCAACTATTCTGGTCAGGAGGATGTCTTCTCGATTTCATAGTTAAGGCTGGGGAGAGGGCTTTCACAAGTAGTCTTTTTAGTAGTGTCATGTCACTGCACCTTAGGAGTAAAGGCAACTCCAACAGTGAAGCAAAGCTAAGGCATCGTAACGCTGTTACTGCTGGAAAACTGAAGCATTACTATTGAAATAGTCCTAAAGCCTTTCCCTAGGAGTATTTTTGACAGCTGTCTTGCACTGTAGGGAGTGCTAGCTTGTATGTAAATTTTTGAGCAGTTCACTGAAGTGAACAGGAAGATCTAGAGAGTAAGTGAATTATCACAGTCACCTTGGAGGTTGTTCCGCGATATCTGGAAGTACGACTTGCTGCCTTTTGCCTAAAACAAGTAATTAGTTGGGCTTATGAACTTGGGAGGGGTGGGGGGGGGGTCGCTCTTTACACAAGAACAGGAGAAGTCAGATATGCAGCACCTGGACTGGAGGCCACTAAATGCCACTTAGTTTCTGAGCGCTTTCTTGTCGGGGGTTTAGCAGGGTTTCACTTCTGTGCTAGCAGTGTGGGCGGTTCCTCACCATCTACCCTAAGGACTGTGCTGTACTGACACCCTGTGATGACAACTGCTACCAGGACAACTGCACCAGGTGAAAGCTCGAGGCGAAAACTATGCCTCCTGGCTGGAGTCTGCTTGCAAGCTTACGAAGGAATAACCCCACCTGTAGGGCGGTGTCCCGTCTGACTGAAGAGGATTGCTATTCTGTTCTTGTATGAAGAAGCACAGTCCAAGCAAAACCAACAGACCATTATGTTTAATGCTAATTTAATGAACAAAGTTAAGGAGTGTTTTCCCAGGGAAAGATCCGTTCTGTAGCTTTATCTTCGCTCATACTTCCGCTCTCGACTTGTTCCAAGTTCTTCTTGCTGTTCCTTACTCTGATCTGCTCTTGTAGTGCTCCAGGTTTGCCAGGATCCAGGCGGTTGGAAGCAGGAAGCATGAAAACATCACAGAAAGCGCGATGGCTTGTTCCTGGCAGTGAAAAAAGACAAACAAAAGAAAGGGTGGGATGGCTGTGCCACAGCTTCATGGCGGGTGGGACACCTAGGACAGTCGCATGCTGGCGCTGCCTCGAACACAGGAGGTCAAGCGTGCCTTTCTGCGCTCCTGCTGCTAGATTTTCTTGCCTCTGCTGCTGTTGGGTGAACACAGGAGCCTTGGGACTCGACTTGTTCCAAGTTCTTCTTGCTGTTCCTTACTCTGATCTGCTCTTGTAGTGCTCCAGGTTTGCCAGGATCCAGGCGGTTGGAAGCAGGAAGCATGAAAACATCACAGAAAGCGCGATGGCTTGTTCCTGGCAGTGAAAAAAGACAAACAAAAAAGGGTGGGATAGTTGTGCCACAGCTTCATGGCGGGTGGGACACCTAGGACAGTCGCATGCTGGCGCTGCCTCGAACACAGGAGGTCAAGCGTGCCTTTCTGCGCTCCTGCTGCTAGATTTTCTTGCCTCTGCTGCTGTTGGGTGAACACAGGAGCCTTGGGACTGTGGGAGGGAGACTCAGGTAATCGCAGCAGTTGCCACCAGCTGTGGACCAACCTGGCTGCTCTTTAAGTTTCTTTCTGTTGCTTTCTATTTCGGAGTTGGAATACTCGCTTGGAAATCAGTCCAAGTAGCTCATGACTTTCGATCTCGCTTCAAAAGGCCCTTTCCTTCCCCACCCTCCATGTATTGAGGTAGTTATTTCCATTTCATGAAAATGAAAGCCCTGGCTGGCTAGTCCGCTGTATGTGCACGCTTCACCCCAGCCCCCAGGGAAGCGAGGGGCGATCCTCTGCAGGAAAGACCATAGCTGTGTCGGGGCTGCTGTGGGGGCAGGGTGGCCACCCCTTCCCCTTGCGGCAGCGGCGAGCCTCAGGCCTGGGGTTTACCCTGTTTTCCAAAGCGCTCCTGCCTGACTTTCAAATGCCTTTGAGGCGCTAAGCGCTACTAATAACAGCCCAACAGGCACTGGCAGCTCTGGCATTTCTGGCGTGCCAGCGCTTAACCCCTTGCGCTGTCGCCTTCGTCTTTATGGCGGTTGTATCCGGCTAGAAGAAAGAAGAGAGTCTCCGGGCTGGTGAAGCGTTTCATCGCGGACCTTGGAAGGGCAGCAGCAGGCGAGCTCTGCACCGCAGGGCTGGAGATGACATCCAGTGGGGATTTCTGGTAGAAAGCTCTTCATTAAGCTCTTTTTTTTTTCCCTTTTTTTTTTCTTTTTTCCTTCCCCTCCTTTTTTTTTTTTTTTTTTTTTTTTTTTTTTTTTTTTTTTCCCAATTTGTG